CCATCCCCGCCCGAATGATGAATGTTGCTTTATTCTTTTAATTATGTATTGTCCTATATGTCATTGTATGTTTCCCCCTTCCTACATGAGTTGTAAGCCGCCCTGAGTCCCCTCAGGGAAAAGGGCGGCCTATAAATAAACTTAACCATACAACCATACAACCAACCAAGCCAATGTCTAGTTAGATGCATTCAATGCAGATTTGTATCAACCTTGGCCTGATCATTGCAGTATAATGTCTCCCCACCTCCCACCCACCCACTTTCCAGCAGAGAGTATTTCCTTGCTGATGAAGAAATTGCCTTCTTGTGTGATAGGATGTGTTTTTTTTTTCCTTTGCTATCTGGGATTTTACATTAATGTGATTTTTTTTTTTGCAGAAATGAATATCTCATATTTCAAAAGATAATCAAACTGGAATATGAATTCCCAGAGAAGTTCTTTCCCAAGGCAAAAGATCTTGTAGAAAAGCTTCTGGTAAATGAACATTGCTATCCAAAGAAAAAAAGAAATGTAAAACATTTAACTATGTTCTCCAAGTCCCCATCCCCCATTGGTTTGAGTTTATGACCACCAGAGCTTCCTTTCCAGCAAGTCTTTTTTCACACTTTTTAATGCTTTTCACAACTTAAATCAGGGCCATAATTCTCAATCTGTTTTTTTTTCTTTCAAGCCCCTGGGCTGCCTGCCCATCCTTTGCTTTTTTTTTGCAAGCCTGCCCTGAAGCCTGATCTGATGTGGAGGAGCTGTTTAAGAAGTTCACTCAGGGCAAACGAACAAAAATATATACTTTGGACCAGTTGCCCTGATTTAACCTTTTAAATAATCTTTTGGCCTGGATGATTGAATCTCCATTGACATATTACACTGTGGAGCTGCTACTCTCCAGCCAAAGGGACTCCTTGCTTGAGCAAAAGGTCAGGACTGTGGGACTGCCTCTGCTGAGTGATTGGCACATGCCAGCAGTTGGCACTTGCCAGTAAGGCATTAGTGATACCGTTGCATGATATGTGCCAAAAGTGTACTTCTTCTTGCTGATCTGCCTCCCTCCACCTTTGACCGGGGTGTTGCTCCCACTTGCTTCAGGATAGTATGGAAGGTTGGTTCTTTTGTGTCCTAGAAGGAGCAGAGCTGCTTTAAGGACACCTGTAAGAGCAAAGGCCCAGACTGGAGGTAGATGGCAAGACGAACGTCTCCAGCATAATAAAAAGGTGCCCATCAAGCAGAAGCAAGAACTTCTGGGATAGATGACCCAAGTGGATATTAAATCATGAGAATAAGCAGGGCCTGTACTTTGCAGGTTTTATTTTATTTATTTATTCATTTATTTTTTGTATAGCCATATTAGATCAGTTTCTTACCAAATATAATGAAAGAAGGGAAACGTTGGAGGCAGCACAAGATAGAGGAAACCAGTCTGGCTGGACTGGGGAATCCTCTGGGAAGCGAAAGATACCGCGAAGGGAAGAAACAGCTGTTTCATTGGGTAGACAAAGCAACTGGCCTTTTCCAGAGAAGTTCTGGAGGGCTTAAATGTTTACAGGGAAAATACTCTTTTGCAGGTGATCCTCAGGTTACAACCACTTATTCAGTAACCATTCAAACTCGCAGTGCTGCTAAGAGAGGGGGACTTACAGCAACTCTTTGGAGTCCCTACAGTCACGTTATGTCCAACATTCCCTACTGGTTTCCCACAAGAGAATTCAATGGGAAAGCTGGCAGGAAATTGGGATTTTTGAAACTTGTTGAATGACTCACAGAGTCCTCACTAAACTGCTGGCACTAATTGATTCAGTCATAAACTCTGATATCACATGACCAACTCACTTAGTGGCAGTAATTCTGGTCCCAAAGGATTCCTTTAAATACAAATACATATTCCATACTTGTCACTCTTGCTGTGCAAGAGCTGTGGTGATGCAGTGCTCAGAATGCAGAACTGCAGGATAATTCTGCTGTTCGGCAGCTAGATTCTCACCAGGCTCAAGGTTGACTCAGCCTTCTATCCTTCCCAGGTCGATAAAATGAGGACCCAGATTGTTGGGGGTAATATGCTGACTCTGTAAACCGCTTAGAGAGGGCTGTAAAGCACTGCAAAGCGGTATATACATTTTAAGCGCTATGGCTACCTCAGACAAAGTCATCTTCCTTATTTTTTATAGTGAGTCATGATTAAATAACCACTGTTAAGGAACAATAGTGAAAGAGGATTCTAAACCATGCTAATAGAAATAGGCTATTGGCTGGCAAGGCCTGTTTAAATGCATTGATCCTCTAGATCAGGGGGTCTCCAACCTTGGCAACTTTAAGCCTGGCAGACTTCAACTCCCCAAATTCCCCAGGCTGGCTGGGGAATTCTGGGAGTTGAAGCCTGCCAGGCTTAAAGTTGCCAAGGTTGGAGACCCCCTGATCTAGATGGTGTTGTCAGTGAAGGAAGCAGTAGAAAAGTATAAAATAAATATCTAGTTATTTTGACCACTAAGGTCGTCTTCAGTGGAAAGTAGAGTATTCTTTGTTATCCTCAGCATCTTTTTTAGATAAACAACCAACATTAAGCAATCTGTAATGGAAACGCCTGTTCAGTGCAGGAATCCACTCAGCCATCCCACGTGGCCATCCAGCCTTTACTTGAATACCTCCTGTTGTGGGTCAGCTGCTTCACTGCTTAGAGAATTCCTTGAGGTACTCAGCTTGGCTCCCTGGTGATCCTTGCCCTGCTCTTGTTTTCAGCAGAGACATGTTCACTCCTCTTGCACATGTCAGCCTTTTAGAAGTCTCTAGATTTCTATGATATCTTTTTTTTTTGCAAGCTAGATATGATTATTGCCTAAATGTGGAACAGTTCCCCCCAGGCCTTGCTTTTCAGTCCCCTTAAATATCCCAGCACATTCCTCTGCTAATTCTCAGGATATGAAGAACAAAGGAGCAGCCTAGCAAGGACACCACACAATCCGTGACCAGTGATTTCAATTGCTTTGTAGTCAGCGCTTTACAAATCTTTCAAATTTATGCTTCACCCCATGCGGAAGAAGAGATGAATGAGTCTCATGATCAAGTCCAGTGTGAAATTGACAGAACATCCAAGCGTGACTGAAATGTAAAAGTTGCAACTATAACTTATGAAATTAAAATGAGGCAAAAGAACATTTTCTCTTTTTTAAAATACAAAAGCTTTAAAGAGCACATAAAACATAAAAAGTAAGATAGAATGAAGAAAACAAAGAGATAGAAAAGAAAAGACAAAAGTGCAGGGGAAAAAACACAGGAAGCTTCTGGTTTCCTTTGGAGCAAATACAAGTATACAATACAAGAAGGTTATCTCTTATGATTTCAATAAAAAAGGTCACTTTTTTCTATCTAATTTTTTTTACCTATACCACAAGTCTTTGCAAAAAGTCTGTAAGTAGTTTCCAGTCAGCCATAAATGTATTTTTTTCTTAAATTAAAGAGGTTAATATCTTCACCAACCATTCCTACATTGGGGATGGATATTGAACCTTTACATTTTTCAGCATAGAAGAGTCTCACTGAAGTTGTCATCTACAAAGACAAAGTCCCTTCAAAAGAAGTTGCTGGATTTAATTACGCCAGAATATGCAAAACAGTTGTAACATTGTCCCTTAGTTGTCTTTTAGGTGAAAACCCACACTGGTCCTTATGAATAGATTCTGCACAATTATTTTCACTCCTATCAGCTAGGATTGTTTTGAACAACTGTAGTCGTCATTCAGTAATGATATTGGTTTGTAATTCCTAAAGCTGAGCTTGATCTTTTTAGGTATTACTGATATATTAATTTCCAGGTCTCTGGCATCTTTCCTCTCTGTAAAATAGGATTCATCGAGCTTTGTTAAAAATTATAAAAGTTCATCCTCAAAACTTGTAATACAAACTCAGTAGTCCAGTGTTTCTTAATGTCAGCAACTTTAAGTGGTGTAGACTTCAGCTCCCAGAATTCCCCAGATAGCCAATGGCAACAACAATCAATCAGATAAATAAGCTTCCTTTCCATTCAGCCACAAAATTGTTTATAAAATAGTGAATGAGTTAGTTCTAAGGATGGAGCTCAGTAATCGCTAGACTGATGCTGAAACGTTTACATGAACTCTGGTTGGATTGTTCAACCAGTTGCAAATCAATTGGACTACACTGTGCTGTAACTCATGTTTGTTTATCTTCTCCATAAGAGTATCATGAAAGGCCTTGACAAATATTTTACAGAGATGGCTTTATGCCCCATCACCTATGGATTGGACTACAGCAGTGTGCTCTACAAAGAAGGGTCTTCCTTGAAGGGTCTTGAATGCAGTGGCATAGGCAGTGATGGGCGTGACTTAGTTCTTACTGCTCTACAAGCTGTGTTATAATTCCTCCAACTCCAGGTCATTTTGCTGCTGTCATGAGATCCAAATCAGAGGTAGCATGGAGTTGCTCTGTGAGTTGAGCCCTCAGTAATGTGCATGTGGTCTGTGGGTGTTATGGTGTCCAGGAATTTCCAAGCTGCCTCCAATGCCAGGCCCAAAGGAAGACGACGTCCCCCAGTACCATAAATCTGGGGAATTACTGCCACTCCAGCCACAGTATCAAACAGCTCAGCCAGGGAGTGTGTTGTGTATCAAGGAGACATTTGCTTTTATTGACTCTTGTGTCAATGAAAGTTCCTTCTGTTGTCATGGAGGATTTCCTGACAGTTAGAACAATTCATCAGCGGGACAGCTTGCCTTCAGAATTTGTGAGTGCTGGCTCAGGAATTCTGGGAATTGAAGTCTACAAGTCATAAAAGGGCCATAGTTCCCCACCTCTGCTCTAGGGTCTCCTGCTTGAGCAGCAGGTTGAGTTGGAAGATCTCCCAAGATGCAGTTAAGTAATAGAACTATCTCAGGTGTTACCAAAACTTTTCCTGGTTCATCTATTCTTTCTTGCCACCTGTCTAAGAAGTTGTTACTCCTGCTGGGGTGTCTTTTTGGGGTCTTCCTCCTCCACTGCTCTGGTAACATTTGGTGCTGTGTCTTCCGAGGTCTTTTGCTGGCCTTCCCAGGGAGCTTTCTGCTCTCTCCAATGAACACTGGAGGCGAAAAGCCAGCGCCTGATCCTTTCAGCTTCTCCTCTAACAAGGAGAGGAACTTAAAATTACAAGAGGTCTAATTAGCATATTCTTCAGGATAAAAAATGAATATAACATAAACCAGGGACATTGTTACCATATTTGAATAGAGACTGAGATCAGTTTGTTTCTCCCCTGCAAAACCCGTCTCTTCCTCTTTGTTCTCCATGGTTAGCAAACTCACAACCAACATTCTTTTAACTTTTTTCAAAGAATGGCTTGTTTTAAATATAACCGTCATTTAATTCTAAATATAAAATATTTTATTCAACTATTTTATGAATAATGCATCCCAGTCAAATTTTCCCAGTGACTGAGTTTATAATAACAAGCTATAAAAAATGTGTTAAATTGTTACAATTGTCTTAGCTGCTGTTACTGAAGTATCAAGAGCCCGAGCAGCCTCTTTTCTATGCTAAGACTCTTCACTCTTGCTGCACTCCAGGGGGGCTCAGCTGGTAATTTAGGTTGTTCTTTTGATCCTCTCTAGAAAGAGTTAAGATCAAATTTCAAGTCTCCCTCTGTGTGTTTTTGGGAGGGATCCTTCCCAAATAAACTGTCATCGGAAGCTGAGCAGTTTCAGGGGAAAAGTAACTTTCATTTCTTAATCAGGTTCTTGATGCTACCAAACGGTTAGGATGTGAAGAAATGGGGGGCTACGGACCTCTGAGAGCCCACCCCTTCTTTGATTTCATCACCTGGGAAAATCTGCATCATCAAACCCCACCCAAACTCACAGCCTACTTGCCCGCCATGTCGGAAGACGATGAGGATTGCTATGGGAATGTAAGTGCCAAAGGGTGACAGGAAGGTGACTCAGATTCCAAGAAACCTTGATTCCCTCCATTGAGTAGTGCGCCTAGATCAGCTTTGGGGTATAGCCTTCATGTTCACCCTATCATCCCCATCAGGGAAGGGTGTTCTTTGTGCCTCTTGGAGCATTAACTTCACTCCGTCTATCCTTGAATCCCTGAAGAGAGTCAGATGTAGGGAAAAACACGCTTTGGGTATAAAAGAAATCCATCGCTTGGACATTTCTGGGTGGGATTATACTGTGGCTGAGCTGAATCCTGAACCGTTGTGCTGGGTCTGAGCCTCAGGGGTGGCCAAATCGAGAGGGGCCAGCAGGACCAAGCTGGTGCCTCTTTCCAGGACTGCTGAATCCTGCCCTGATAATTAGTTCTCTGGTGTTGAGCCATGTCTTTGGGGAGTAGTTCTCCCCTCCCCCCCATGTATAAGTCTGCCCATGCCTCGCTGCATTGCACGGCACATATGACATTACTCTGTATGAATATACAATGCAGCACAGTAAGACAAGTGCTAATGACTGGTTGACCGCAAGGACTGCAAATCCTTCCTTTCCATCAGTTAGAACTGAAAAAGCTGCTCAGAGGAGAAGCAAAACCTCTAAACGAGAAATCAAGAAACTCCAGTTGCCTTAAAAAAAAAGGCACCTTTGGGATGAAGGCAGAAAGCCCTGTCATATCATCTGTCTCAACACCTCCGTCTTCAGGGCCAAGTGCTAAATGGCGCTTGCTTTTATTTTGTAGTATGACAACCTCCTGAGTCAGTTTGGCTGCATGCAAGTTTCCACCTCCACCTCTTCTCAGTCACTGTCTTCCCCAGAAATGGGTCCCTTGCAGACTTCTGGAAACAACATAGAGCAATACATCCATGACCTGGACAGCAATTCCTTTGAGCTGGACCTCCAGTTCTCTGAAGAGGAGAAAAGGTTGCTGTTGGCAAAACAGACTGGTGGGAATCCTTGGTAAGTCTCGAGAGCTCTTAGCTGAGTTTTCTATGGAGTTTAAAAATTTTTAATCTGTGTACTTTTAATATTTTAATATATTTTAATTATTTTCCTATTTGATTTATAACCTGTAAGCTACCCAGAGTCACCTTATAGAAGAGATAGGTGGCATAAAAATGATTAATAAATAAAATATTGCCCCATAGAACTTCTTACTCTCTTGAACATAGAGGAGGGTCTTAGAGGAGTAAAGAGTGGGGATGAGCTTAAAAATAAACCACAAAGAACTTAAGATCAAACCAGAAGGAGATGAGAAGGTGAATGTGACTAACATTAAATGAAGTAGAGTAATTGTTCAGATAGAAGGGAGAAGGGCTTGCTTCTACATGGCAGCATGGAAGAGATTTTCTTGTAACACTAAGAATTTTCTCTAGCTGACAAAACTTAGGTTGAGAACATCGGCTGCTATTCTTGCAGTGCAGAGAGAAGAGAACACTTTCTTAGGAGTTGTCTAAAATCACTAAACAACATTGCATAAAACTCTAGCAAGCAGAAGAAACTTCCTCTGGAACTTGTAGCCATCCAGAAGATTAGAAGTGGTGGTCTCCTGACCATGTACAGAGGGCCTCAAGTTCCCCATTCCTTCTTTAAAGTGCTGCAAGCTTTCAGAACGGAGAAGCTGGTGGAAACATAACAGCAGATTTGAAGCTTCGGTTATCAGAAGTTATTGTAAAAAAACTACCAAAGACTTATTCTTGAAGTCATACATTCCTACTTGATTATGAGGATGGAGATTCTCAGATTTGTAAGAGGTAGATTCAGAAAATTTAATTAATTAAACTAAGAATCCAGTCAATTTATGACTCAAAATGTTGGATCTTTATTAATGTTGTTAGGGCTGTTTTTTCTTGGCCCATGAGAATCGATTTAAAAGGGTGATGTTCCCCTTCTGGTTCTCAGGGGTTGTGCTGTCTCATGTTGCAAATTGGGGTGGCTCAAAGATAGGATGATGGAATAATGTGCTGTGTTTTTTTCTCTTTAGGCACCAATTTGTAGAAAACAATTTAATACTGAAAATGGGGCCCGTAGACAAGAGAAAGGTAAGTTGCTTGGTCCTGTTGCTTCTGGGAACACAGCACCGGAATCCAGATGCCTCTGAATATTCAATCCAGGGAGACAGAGCGTGGGGACACCTTCCAGTTCCTTTGCCACATGGGTGCCATGAAAGAGAAAGGCCTCGGGGAGGGGCACTAAGCAAGGGTCACCCTGGGTGTGGTGTAATCCTGGAAATGGGGATGCATTGAGTTGTGATGGCCATAGAACTCAAGGCACGTAAATTTCTTGCCTGCTGGAAGATAGTTCTAGAAGTCTTGGGCCAGAGTTAGCCATTGTAGCCAACCTCTGCAGCAGTGATGGGAGGCAGCTCTGGAACCCCCAGGTCTTTTATGTGGAGCAATCCAGAACCAAATCGGCAGGTCACTTGTTCTGGAAATTGTGCTCTGAATGCTCGCATTGTAACGACAGCCCAAGGACGTCTTTGCTTTGGCTGCTTCTGATAGTCTTCTGAGTGGTAGACGAGCAAGTCTTTGAAAAATGCCTCTGCTGCATTTGGGAGGCAAAGAAAACAATCCCCCAAAAGCTGCCTTAGCTGCATATTCAGAGTCTTGGGTTGATCTCTTAAGAGGTAAATTGTTTAGGAAGAGGCATTGGTGAATGACTACAGGTACTGTAACCAAAGCGGATTACTAGCCACATAAATGGTGTTTTGGTTGCACTTAAGTTCTTGGGTATATGTAATAATAAATGAACCATAATACATGGCAGTACCTGGAGACACCAAAGCAGAACAGAAAGAAATGGGGGAGGGGTGTCACAAAATTCAAAGAGCTGCAAATAGGAGAACAGCAGCTATGGCAAAAGAAAGCAAAGATAGTACCAATAATAACAGGCGCCAAAACAACTGGAGCACCACTTGAACCTCATCAGCAGTGACAAAATCCTCATCAATTATTTGCACAAGGCAGCTTTCCTTGGAACAGCTTAAATCCTACGATGAAACACCATCAAACAACAGCAACCAGTTATCCCAGTTCTTGGGAAGGGTTTGATAGGTGAATGAAAGTGATTAAAATTCAGCCTAAACATCTGGCTGACTGTGTGGTCAGTGTGATCATCATCATCAATTGGACACATAGCCTCCAAATCCAAGAGAATCAAGGAAGCTTATAATAATGAAAATGGCATTTCAGAGGGTAGGGAGCAGCAGCAGAGGAAGCACAGCCCAAATACTGGCATTTTAACTGGAAGGGAACCAGAGCATGACAGCTGCTGATATCCTGGGTGATGGATGGCTTACACGAAGAGGGGCAGCAGGAGCATCTCTGTTAGGGGAACCTATCCATTGATTACTATCCATGCCTGGCCAAAGGTGTGGGTGCATAGTAGGGTTCTCCTAACCATAACTCAGAGGTCGGATGAAACAATAAAGGCTAGCCCTTGTGACAAAAAATGTCCCCATTCCTGACTCAGAACATTTTTTTAGGGTTGTGTGCAGCTTTGGATTCAATTGCCATTTTTCTTATTTTATTTCTTCTCATTTGCCACGGTTTATATGCTGTTTTCCAGGGCGCTGCTCAGAGAGTCCAAGCCAGGGTTAAATACATAAATACAGCCAAACTGCCCAGAGCTGAATTGAAACTTTAAGCCACACCTCTGGTGCTGATTATCCCCAGATTTTCAATTTAGCTAGCCCGGCTTAGACGCGCTTTAAGTTTCTCTTTATTTAGTTTATTAGCTTGGACTCTCTTGAGCATTNTCGAGTCAATAACTTTTCCAGTTTTTTGTGGTAAAATTAGGTGCCTCGGCTTATATTCGGGTCGGCCTATACTCGAGTATATACGGTACATAGAAATCAAATTGACTATTATTGCTAAAAGGAAGTAGAGGAGTGAAGTTCTGGGATCAAAGATATGACATCACAAAGTGATCATGTGAAATTTCTATATTAAGCTAAAGAAGGAGAAGAAAGTCAAGCAGTTTCCGCACGATGACCTTGCGCGTATACCCACTATTTTCAAGGAGAATATCATAAATCATTTTGACATCCTGAACATCAGTGATGGAGAACTAAGGAACGAACTTAAAAAAAGTTGTTGAATTGCAAAAGATTGCCATGGATGAAGAAACAGAAGAAAGGAAACAGTAGGAATTGCCAAGAAGATAAGAGAAACCAAAGTCAAGGAAGACTCCTATTTCTCACTCACACACCCCTACCTCCTACTTTGGGCACCTTACACAAAGATCTAACTCTCTGAGAAGTCTCTATTGATGGGAAAGATGGAAGAGAAGAGAAAAAGAGGATGATCAGCAGCACGATAGGTGGACTCTGTTATGGTATTGATGGATGCACCATTGGAAAATTTCAAGAACAACTTTAGGGGCAGATTGTTATGGAGAAAAATTATCTACATAATTACTAAGCATTAACACTGACTTCATGGCACAAAATTATGAATAATAATGTGTAAATATTAAAATAGATAAATAAGTTGTGGAAACAATTAGAAGTGATGTCACAATTACAGTAAGTACTTTTATGACATTTCCTCATTTTTTCCCTTAAGTGTATTTCCTAGTGGCTCATCTGAAACCAAAATTGATGAAATGCATACCCAGATGAAATTGGAACATTGTCTTTAGTATCAATCATTTAACTGATGCAGCTGTCAATAGTCTTTGAGATTCTGTTACATAATGCCAATGCACTATGAGGTGAACAAAGCACAGATAGTTGGCTGAAATGATTTGGCCGGATTAAGATGTTATGACAGTTATTCATTGTTTTAATTGAAACTTGTATAACTTCCTAACTGAGTAAATTTGCTTAAACTGTGCTCCATTAGATAATTTATGTTATATACATTATTTTTTTCTTAACCCGATTTTGCTTTCTTTATCTAACATTTTTAATGATTTCAGATGTTTAGACTTGTTTGTATTAAAATGTATTTATTTATCTCTTACCCTATCATTAACAGGGTTCTTTTATTATATAGGTACTTAAATAAATGCTTTAGTAAGGTGAGCCTAAGGGCACATAACAGTGACTTTGATTTTTTAAAATATAGTTGTTTAATAACATTTTAAATGCAATACTCGGTGCAGAGAAACCTGGGAAAAACTTTTCCTGGTCTCACTGTAGAGTAGATAAAGATGAAATTCTTGTCATTTCTGCAACACATAAAATAGATTTTGAAAATCAATTTCTTTTTCCATGGGCATCTCTATGTTAACCAGCTGTTCCTATATTTATTTAGAAATGTGATTTGGTAAGTGGATGTTAGCACTAATAAAATGGTGAACTGAGTTATTGAAGTTACTCCACCTTACATCTAGCCTTGTGTTCATTTTACAGATTGAAGTGTCCCAATATATGTCCTTTTTCACTTTTTAATGAGAAATGCTATAATTGATTTTCCTGTTGATTTTATCTTGATTCTGGGGAAACAGACAGTTTATTTTGACAATTTATTTTCTAGTATGCTGAGGTTTTCCTTATCCTCTACTGGAAGAATTATCAACTTTTTATTTGTCAGAAGTTCCCGTTTTCCAGAGCGCTGCTCAGGAGAGTCCAAGCAAGGGTTAAATACAGCCAATCTGCCCAGAACTGAATTGAAACTTTAAACCACGCCTCTGGTGCTGATTATCCTCAGTTTTTTTTCAATTCAGCTAGCCCAGCGAATGCGCTTAGAGTTTCTCTTCAATTCTATTACTTGCTTGGACTCTCTCTTTTCAGTAGGTAAATTTAATTTCATTGTATTGGAGCAGGCTTGGAGAGTAAAATATGTTCTTTACTTAAATTGGCCATTCTCTCCCTTCCAGTCCTCCCGGTGTCCTGGATACCTTAGGCACCGCGGTGGGACACAGGCAGCTGTTGGGTGGGGGCGTGGGTCGGAGTGCCGATGCCAGTGCTGTTGCAGCAACCCTGCTGCGGTCGGATCCCCCATGGAGAGCTCCGTTGGGCATTGTCTGTGCTTCTTGAAGCAGGCGTTCGGCGTGGCTTCTCCGGGCATTTTATTACTCAGCTGGCTAGTTAAAGCGCAGGCGCAGCGGGAAAAAGACCGCCTGCCATTTTTACTCGTTCTGCCGGTTTCACTTTCGACTACTTGCACATGCCACAGCTGCTTGAAGCCTGACTCATCTCAGGAGCCGCTTGAAGCCTTTGTTGTCCGGCCTGGCTGGCAATTTACCTCCGAAGCCTTTCACTTGCAGTGGCGGAACTTTGAGGCCCCCTGGATCGCAATTGTTATTTCTGCGGGCGCTGGGAGCTGAGATTGCTCGCACTTGAATCTCAAAGTGTCTTTGATCCTCGCCTTCTGTGTCTCTCCAGTGAGCACTCTGGTCGATGGTGGGCTGTTGTGAGGTGGTGAGTGGGGGTGCCCCTTATCTGTTGGATTGGATTTAGTGCCATGGCAGATCTGATTCCAGAGGAGCCTGGACAGTCAGGGGTTTCCTCCAAGGCCTTTGCTAGGCAGGCAGGTGTGGCTGCCAGGAAGGCCATCAGGGGTTCCAAGCCCTACTCCAGGCCTGGGCCTAAGCAGGGATCAGGGCCTGATAAGGATGCCTTGCGCCACCAGAAGGCCCTTGAAAAACACTTCTCCAAGGCCCAACAGCAGTCCCAAGCCTCCCAACTGGTGTCTCCTGAGGAGCCCTCCTTGGGTGTCCCTCCTGCTCAAACCCATCCTATTTCCGACAGTGATGAGGAATGCCAGGATTTTCCCCCCACGGCTTCCTTGGCCATGGGAGTCTCTCCTGGTGTGTCCATGGTTGACCAGGCCGATCTGTTTGCATGTCCTTTGGACCTGGAGGAAGGGTCTGTCTTGGGATCCTTGGCACCGCAGGATCCGCTCCCCAGGCCAGATCCCAGGGTGCGCCCTGTGGAAGATCAGGGACCCGATCTCTCAGCGGAAATGCAGGAGGTCATTAATAGAGCCATTTCTCAGGGTATCAAGGCAGGCATGCAACAGAAGGGCAAGCACACTCGTAAGACCCGGCATCTGCAGCCCCCAGTGGTCCCCAGAGCGGCTTCTGTCTCTCAAGAGCCTCAGTCTCCCCATTCTTCCATGGCCTCTGAGGATTCGGAATGGGAAGAGGAGGGGAAACTCTTACCCAGGCAGGAGGCTGAGTTTTCTGGGGACAAAAGTGGCACCTCCGAGAAACCTTCCTTCTCTAGTCTATTTAAACAGGCCAATTTCAAAACCATTTTGGATAAAGCTAAGATTGCGACCCATATGGGGTCCAAACCTCCAGTTCAGGCGCCGATTGAGACAAATGACCTTTCCGGGGATCTCTTTGTGGAGCCTGTCTTGGCCCAGGAGATAGTACCCATCCCCAAGATGTTTCTTAATATGGTTCAGAAGCAATGCGTGCAGCCTGCCACTATGGCTATCCTCATAGCAATGATAAGAAGTTATATACAGTAGATGCCAGTCTGGAGGACTTGCTTAAGCTCCCTTCTATCGATCCCCCTGTGGCGGCCCTCACCTCGACCTCCGTCCTCCCACCTGATTTATTGGAAGGTCTTAATGCGGAGGATAAGAAATCTGAGACCGCCTGTCATAAAACGCACCAGGCGGCTGCTTGGGCAATTAAGACTTCAGCTTCGGCTTCCTTTCTATCCAGGGCTGCCCTCCTCTGGCTGAGGCAATTGTTAACTAGGATTCCAGCCAGGGATACTAAGTTAAGGCAGGATATTAATAAGATCATGGCGGCCACGGAGTATACTGCCGATGCCAACCTGAACGTGGCCAAGTTCGTCTCACGGGCTCCTGTGGCTTCAGCACTGGAACGTGGACATGAGCTCCAAATGGAAGCTGGTTTCTGCTTCCTTTAAAAGGGACAAGCTCTCCGGAGAGGCCCTAGACCCTGTCCTAGTAGAGAACAAGGACAAGAAAAAGGTGATACCATCTGTCACTAAGAGGTCTGACAGGAAGGGCCCCTACTCCTACAAGAGGCAGCCCTTTCGGAACACGGAGCAGTCTACTAGTTCCTCTCCGCCCCATCGTCCATACTCCCAGCAGGTGGACCGGTCTCAGGACCGCCAGTCCTTTCGCGACAGGGGTCACCAGCAGCCCTACTCCAAACGTCCCTTTTGGGGGGGGTCTGGTTCCCACCTGTTCAGGAGATACAAATGACTACCACAGCTCAGCTCCCATAGGGGGGCACCTCCAGTTGTACAGCGCCCAGTGGGAGCAGACCTTGTCAGATCAGTGGATCCTGCAAACAATCAGACTAGGACTCACTCTGGAATTCTTCTCCATTTCCCCTGCCACTTCATCAGGTCCCCGTTTCCGTCATGCCCGGTAAAAAGGGCTCTTATGGAAGAAGAGATTAGGCATCTCAGGGAAATCAGGGCCATAGAGCCGGTTCCACCCGGCCAGGAAGGGACAGGGTTTTACTCAATCCTGT